AAACCTAGGTAATACCATTCAGGACATAGGCATGGGCAAGGACTTCATGTCGAAAACACCAAAAGCAATGACAACAAAAGCCAAAACTGACAAATGGGATCTAATTAAACTAAAGGGGAACATCACACACTGGGGTCTATTGTGGGGAGCGTTAGTGGGGAGGGATAGCATTAGGAGATATACCTAATGTAAATGACGAGTTAATGGGTGTAGCATAGCAACATGGCACATGTGTACATAGGTAACAAACCTGCACGTTGTGCACATGTACTCTAGAACTTAAAGTATAATAAAAATTTAAAAAATTATACAATCATATTTGTCAGCCAGGCCTGGAAGAAAAATATGTATTATATTTCTTTTAGTTCTATGCGATGAATAACAATGATAAAATTGTGAATCATCTTTTGATGATTTATTATTTATGCCTTTGGCTGTTAGATGCAAAACACTGCGAACTAGTTCATTCAATTACAAGCTTTCTTCATTTATTTTTCTTTTCTCTCCTCAATATAAAGAATCTCAAAGATTGGAAAGATAGAATATAAAGAATCTTCTAACATAGGAATAAACATTTTTGATCAGCTTTTAACCACAAGGCTCTGTGCGAAAAACTGCAGATGTAAAGATACAATATCTGCCCTCATAGAGTTTATGGTGCACCCGATGAAATAACTAAATACCTGAAAATACAAATAAAAATACAAGACAGTATAAAAGTAGCAAAAAGAAAGAAAGAAAGAAAAGGAAGGAAGGAGGGAGGGAGGGAGGGAGGGAAGGAAGGAAGGAAGGAAGGAAGGAAGGAAGGAAGGAAGGAAGGAAGGAAGGAAGGAAGGAAGGAAGGAAGAAAGGAAGGAAAGAAGGGTACCAGCTCCTCTTTGTACCTCTGGTAGAATTTGGCTGTGAATTTGTCTGATCCTGGGCTGTTTTTCATTGGTAGGCTGTTAATTACTGCCTCAATCTCAGAACTTGTTATTGGTCTATCCTGGGATTTGACTTCTTCCTGGTTTTGAAATGGGAGGATGTATGCATTCAGGAATTTATCCATTTCTTCTAGATTTTCTAGTGTATTTGCATAGAGGTGTTTAGAATGTTCTCTCATGGTAGTTTGTATTTCTGTGAGCTCAGTGGTGATATCCCCTTTATCATTTTTATTGTGTCTGATTCTTTTCTCTTTTTTCCTTTATTCATCTGGCTAGCAGTCTATTTTGCTAATCTTTCTAAAAACAGCTCCTGGATTCATTAACTGTTTGAAGGGTGTTTCTTGTCTCTATCTCCTTCAGTCCTTCAGTTCTGCTCTGATCTTAGTTATTTCTTTTCTTCTGGTAGCTTTTGAATTTGTTTGCTCTTGCTTCTCTAGTTCTTTTAATTGTGATGTTAGGATGTCGATTTTAGATCTTTCCTGCTTTCTCCTGTGGGCATTTAGTGCTATTAATTTCCCTCTAAACAGTGCTATAGCTGTGTCCCAGCAATTCTGGCATGTTGTGTCTTTGTTCTCATTGGTTTCAAATAAGTTATTTATTTCTGCCTTCATTTTGTTATTGACCCAGTAGCCATTCAGGAGCAGGTTGTTCTGGTTCCATGTAGTTGTGCAGTTTTGAGTGAGTTTCTTAAGAAGAGTATATATTCTATTGATTCGGGGTGGAGAGTTCTGTAGATGTCTATTAGGTCTGCTTTGTCCGGAGCTGAGTTCAAATCCTGAATATCCTTGTTAATTTTCTTTCTTGTTGATTTGTCTAATATTGACAGTGGGGTGTTAAAGTCCCCCACTATTATTGTGTGGGAGTCTAAGTCTCTTTGTAAGTCTCTAAGAGCTTGCTTTATGAATCTGTGTGCTCCTGTATTGAGTGCATATATATTTGGTATGGTTAGTTCTTCTTGTTGCATTGATACCTTACCATTATGTAATGCCCTTCTTTGTCTTTTTTGAATTTGTTGGTTTAAAGTCTGTTTTATCAGAGACTAGGATTGCAACCCCTGCTTTTTTTTCTTTCTATTTGCCTCGTAAATATTTTTCCATCTCTTTATTTTGAGCCTTTGTGTGTCTTTGCATGTGAGATGGGTCTCCTGAATACAGCTTACCAATGAGCCTTGACTCTTTTTCCAATTTGCCAGTCTGTGTCTTTTAATTGTAGCGTTTAGCCCATTTGCATTTAAGGTTATTACTGTTATGTGTGAATTTGATCCAGTCATTATGATGCTAGTTGATTATTTTTGCCTGTTAGTTGATGCAGTTTCTTCATAGTATCAATGGTATTTACAATTCGGTATGTTATTGCTGTGGCTGGTACTGTTTTTTCCTTTCCATATTTAGTGTTTCCTTCAGGAGCTCTTGTAAGACAGTCCTGGTGGTGACAAAATCTCTAAGCATTTGACTGTCTGTAAAGGATTTTATTTCTCCTTCACTTTTGAAGCTTAGTTTGACTGGATATGAAATTCTGAGTTGAAAATTCTTGTGTTTAAGAATGTTGAATATTGGCCCCCACTCTCTTCTGGCTTGTAGGGTTTCTGCAGAGAGGTCTGCTGTTAGTCTGATGGGCTTCCCCTTGTGGGCATTCCGACCTTTCTCTCTGGCTGCCCTTAACATTTTTTCCTTCATTTCAACCTTGGTGAATCTGATGATTATGTGTCTTGGGGTTGCTCTTCTCGAGGAGTAACTTTGTGGTGTTCATTGTATTTCCTGAATCTGAATGTCAGCCTGTCCTGCTAGGTTGGGGAAGTTCTCCTGGTTAATATCCCAAAGAGTGTTTTCCAGCTTTGTTCTATTTTTCTTGTCACTTTCAGGTACACCAATCAAATGTAGATTTGGTCTTTTCACATAGTCCCATATTTCTTGGAGGATTTGTTTGTTCCTTTTCATTCTTTTTTATCTAATCTTTTTTTCACACTTTATTTCGTTAAAGTGGTTTTCAATCTCTGCTATGCTGTCTTTTGCTTGATCGATTTGGCTATTGATACTTGTGTATACTTCACGAAGTTCTCGTGCTGTGTTTTTCAGTTTCATCAGGCCATTTATATTCTTCTCTTAACTGGTTATCTAGTTAGAAATTCCTCTAATTTTAAGGTTCTGAGCTTCCTTTCTTTGGGTTAGAACATGTTCTTTTAGCTCAGAGGAGTTTGTTTTTACCCACCTTCTGAAGTTTACTCTTGTCAATTTGTCAAACTCATTCTCTGTCCAGTTTTGCTCCAGTGTTGGTGAGGAACTGTGATCCTTTGGAGGAGAATAGACATTCTGGTTTTTGAAATGTTCAGCCTTTTTGCACTGGTTTTTCCTCGTCTTCATAGATTTATCTACCTTTGGTCGTTGATGGTGGTGACATTTGAATAGGGTTTCTATGTGGACATGCTTTTCGTTGCTGTTGATGCTACCCCCTTCTATTTGTTAGTTTTTCTTCTAACAGTCAGGGCCCTCTGTTGCAGGTCTGCTGGAGTTTGCTGGAGGTCCACTCAAGACCCTGGCTTCCTGGGTATCAGCAGCGGAGGCTGCAGAGCAGCAAAGATTGCTTCCTTTTCCTTCCTCTAGAAGCTTTGTCCCAGAGGAGCACCTGCCAGATGCCAGCTGGAGCTCTCCTTTATGAGGTGTCTCTTGGCCCCTGCTGGGAGATGTTTCCCAGTCAGGAGGCACAGGGGTCAGGGACCCACCTGAGGAGGCAATTTGTGCCTTAGCAGAGCTCGAGCACTGTGCTGGGAGATTCGCTGCTCTCTTCAGAGCTGGAAGGCAGGAACGTTTAAGTCTGCTGAAACTGCACCCACAGCTGCCCCTTCCCTTAGGTGCTCTGTCCCAGGGAGTTGGGAGTTTTATCTATAAGCCCCTGACTGGGGCTGCTGCCTTTCTTTCAGGGAGGCCCTGCCCAGAGAGGAGGAATCTAGAGAGGCAGTCTGGCTATCGCTGCTTTGCCAAGCTGCAGTGGGCTCCGCCCCATAGTATAGTTTAAAGTCAGATAGTGTGATGCCTCAAACTTTGTTCTTTTTGCTTAGGATTGCTTTGGCTATTAAGACTCTTATGGTATTTATATTAATTTTAGAATAATTTTGTCTAATTGTCTAAAAATGTCATTGGTAATTTGATAGGAATAGCACTGAATCTGTAAACTGTTTTGGGCAGTGTGGCCATTCTCATGATATTGAGTCTTCCTATTCATGAGCATGAAGTGTTGTTGTTGTTGTTGTTTGTTTGTTTGTTTTTAAGACAGAGTTTCACTCTGTCACCCAGGCTGGAGTACATTGGCACAATCTCAACTGACTGCAACCTCTGCCTCCTGTGTTCAAGTGATTCTTCTGCCTCAGCCTCCCAAGTAGTTGGGACTACAGGCACACACCACCACACCCAGCTAATTTTTGTATTTTTAGTAGAGATGGGGTTTCACCATATTGGCCAGGCTGGTCTCTAACTCCTGACCTCATGATCTGCCCGCCTCACCCTCCTAAAGTACTGGGATTACAGGTGTAAGCCACCACGCCCAGCTGCTTTGTGTGTGTGTGTGTGTGTGTGTGTGTGTATGTGTTATCTCTGATTTCCTTCAACAGTATCTTGTCATTCTATTTGTTGAAGTCTCTCAGCTCCCTTGTTATCTGTATTCCTAGATATTTTATTTATATTGTGGCTATTATAATTGGGATTATGCTATTGATTTGACTCTCAGCTTGAATGTTATTGGTGTATAGACATGCTACTTATTTTGTGTATTGATTTTGTTTCCTAAAATTTCACTAAAGTCTTTGCCAGTTCTAGGACTCTTTCGGTACAGTCTTTAGGGTTTTGTATGTATAGAATCATATTGTTAGCAAAAAGAGATGGTTTGGCTTCCTTTCCAATTTGGATGGCTTTTATTTCTTTCTCTTGCATGATTACTCTGGCTAGGACTTCCAATACTATATTTAGTAGGAGTGGTGAGGGTGGGCATCCTTGTCTTCTTCCAGTTGGCAGTATGTTTAATGCTGTGCTTTTTATTTTTAGTGTATCTTTTATAGGTTTTTGCTTTGTGATTACCATGATATAGGAAACATCTTATAGATGAAGGCATTGAGTGTGGACAGAGGGAAGACACAGATGCTGGGATGAAGGCGGAGGAAGTTTGGACCCTTCATCAGTCTACTGTGCACGAAGACTCATTCCTGGCCCCGAACAGCTCCTTAAGAGGGGGTGAGTTGAGCAAGCTTGTGGTGGCCTAGTTTCACCAAAATCCTCTGGAATCCTGTCAGCAAGAGACCCCATGACCCCCACAGAAAATTGAGCTGGCAGAGAGAGCTGTTTGGAGAGGTGGTGTGGGCAGAACTCCATCTGGTGCAGAACCTGGGGAGTTTGGTGTAGGACAGTGTGTGGTGGAGCATGGCCAGGAATGCCCATCCTCCAAGGCTCATCTTGCTCCCTTAAGAGACTTTAGCTTTAGGGGAACTGTCGGACCTGCATAGTTCAGGGCGATCTTTCCCATGAGATGGGGCTGCTCTGATCTGATTGCCCTCCTGTCTGCTAGTCCCTCCCAGGGCACCAGTCTGGCCATTATGGCTTGCAGTGCAGCCTCAGATCTGCAGTTGTGGTGCCTCACAGAGACCCACATGATAGCTTCAGCACTGGCAGACTGTGCCTGATCATTGGAAAGCTCCAGCCAAATGACCTCCACACACCAGCCCACCCATGCCCTTGCCCCACTGCTGCTTCCCCTATGCTGCCTTGCTGGCATGCACTGGCCCACAGTCACCCTCCACATTAATTTACTGGTACGCATACACATGGGTGGACTTCAGTTCTCTTTCCCTGCTGGCGCACACGTGCATGTGCATTGCACTAAGCCACTGCTGCTGGCATAAGCACACCCTGCCCTGCCCCCAGTTGTGCCACCATTGCCAATGTAAAGGTGCATAAGGAAACCAGAAGCTTCACCTGCCCTTTGCCACCATCATCACTGACAAATTAATGCATACAGAGACTGTCAGCTCCATGCCCATCAGTGCCCTGCTCCCATGCTGATACTGCCACAGGCATTAATCTGTGCACAGAGACCAGCAGCCCCATGCCTCATCCTGTGTGACTGCTGCTACTGGCATGAACATGGGCACAGAGGTTGCTATCCCCGTGTTCTCCAGTGCCCTGCTCCATGCTGACACCCCCACTGGTGCAAATGCAAACGTAGATGCCTACAGTCCCCTATGCTCCACACCTCCACCACGGTGCTGCCATTATTGCCACTGCAAACATCCACATGGTGGCCAGCAAACCTGTGCACACCAATGCCCCACCACAGCCAATGAGCAATCACACCACCACATTGCCATTGCTGCTGGTACATGAAAATGAGCATGGATCTAGATAACACCACATGACAAGGCAATCTGCCTGGCACCACCCATCGGAGTGTTGTGAACAGTGATCCAGGAACACCTGGGTCCCTCCCGCACAGCAGGTTCCTAACCTCAAGAGACCAGAAAGCAAAGCCAATGGCTTGACATTAGCGGCCCTAGAGTTAAAGCATGCATTCCAGGCATCCTGAGCTCAGCTTTGGTGTCCTAAAATTTTCCAGAAATGTAGCCAGTTGACTAAACCCACCTTATATTACAATCAAACTCCCAAGGACATTAAAGAGGTCAGAAGAACAAAAATCCCATCCAAAGGACAGCAAATTCACAGACTGAAAGAATACCAACCCACAAAGATGAGAAAGAACCATGACAAAAACTCTAGTAACTCAAAAAGCCAGAGTGTCTTCTTAACTCTAAATGGCTCAACTTGTTCCCCAACAATGGTTCTTAACCAGGCTGAAATGGCTGAAATGACAGATAAAGAATGTCAGTAGAAATGAACATTATTCATACCCAGGAGAACATCAAAACCCAGTCCAAGGTTTCTGAGGAATAAAATAAGATGAAGGAAATCAAAGGTGAACTGGAAATTATAAGAAAAAAACCTGATAAGATAGAACTAAAACACTCATTTCAAGGATTTCATTATATAATCACAATATTAGCAGCAGAATTGACCAAGCTGAGGAAGGAATCTCAGAACTAGAAGACTGGCTCTCTGAAATAACTCAGACAAAAATAAAGAAAAAAGAAGAAAGAACGAAGAACAAAACCTGAGAAATATGGGATTTTGTAAAGAGACCAAATTTATGACTCATTAGTGTCTCTGAAAGAGGAAACAAAGCAAGCAATTTGGAAAACACATTTTAGGATATTGTCCATGAAATGTTTCTCTGCTAGATAGGACAACATTCAAAGTTAGGAAATGCAGGGAACTTCTATGAGATACTACAAAAGACAGCCACCCCCAAGACACATAATCATCAGATTCTCCAAGGTCTAAATAAAAGAAAAAAATGTAAAGGCAACTGAAAAGGTGGTTTACCTACAAACGGAACCTCATCAGGCTAACAGTGGACCTTTCAGCAGAAATCTTACAAACCAGAAGGGATTAGGGGCCTATATTTAGCATTCTTAAAGAAAGGAATTTTCAACTGAGAATTTCTTATCCAGACAAACTAAGCTTCATAAGCAAAGGAGAAATGAGATCCATCTCAAACAAACGAATGCTGAGGGAATGCATTTCCACAAGACAAACCTTACAAGAGGTCCCGAAGTGAGTGCTAAATATGGAAAGGAAACACCATTATTGGGCACTACAAAAACTCACTTAAGTACATAGACCAGTGGCACTATAAAACAACCACACAAACAAGTCTGCATAATAACCAGTTAACAACATGTTGACAGGATCAAATTTGCACATATGAATACTAACCTTGATTGTAAATTATCTAAATGCCCCAATTAAAAGGCACAGAATGGCAACTTGGATAAAGAAGCAAAACCCAATATTCTGTAATTAAGAGACTCATCTCACAATCAATGAAATGCATAGATTCAAAGTAAAGGGATGTAGAAAATTCTGCCAAGCAAATGAAAAACAAAACAAAACAAAAAGCAGGGGTTGCTATTCTAATTCTAGGCAAACCAGACCTTCAAACAACAAAGATCATAAAAGACAAAAGGAGGCAGGGCAAGATAGTGGAACTGATGCCTACACAAATTGTATTTCTATAAGGACACCAATTTACAACTATCTACACAGAGAAAGCCCCTTCATGAGAACCAAAAATCAGGTGAGCCTGTGTAACACCTGATTTTAACTTCATATCACTGAAAGAGGTAAAGAAAAGATAGAAAAAACGTCTTAAGTTGCCAATGCCACCTCTCCCCAACCCCATTCTCCTGCCCCGGCAGTAGCAGCATGGTATAGAGATCATCTCTGGGTGCTGAGGGAGGGAGAACAGCAATTGTGAGGCATTGAACTCAGTGCTGTCCTGTTAGAGCAGAAAGGAAAACCAGACCAAACTCAGCCGACACTCACACACAGAAGTAGTATTTAAACCAGCCCTCGCCAGTCCTGTGCTGGCTTCAGGTCTGACGCAGCATAGTCATAGTGTTGGTGGCCACAGGGGTGCTAATATGACTCCACCCTCAGTTTTTGGAGGTTCAAAACTGAGAGAGATTCTCCGTTTCTTTGGGAAAAATTCAGGCTAGAGAACAAGATATCTGCCTGGTAATCCAGAGAATTCTTCATCTTTTTCAAAACCATCAAGTTAATAACTCTATGAGTCTGCAAGAACTACAGTTTTATTAGGCTTGAGGTGCTTCTTAAAGCAGATGCTGCTTAGCTCTTGATACCCAAGTCCTTTCAAATATCTGGAAAGCCTTCTCAAAAATGATGGATACAAACAAGACAAGATATAGAAGACTACAATAAATAACAAATTCTTCAATGCCCAGACACTGAAGAATGTCTACTGGCATCAACACCATCCAGGAAAACATGACCTCATCCAATGAACTAAATAGGTAGCCAGGGACTAATCCTGGATAAACAGAGATATGTGATCTTTCAGAAAGAGAATTTGGAACAGCTGGGTTCAGGGAACTCAGAGAAATTCAAGATAGCACAGGAAAAGTCAGAATTCCACAGATAAATTTAATAAGAGAATGAAATAATTGAAAAGAATCTAGCTGAAATTCTGGAGCTGAAGAAATGCAATTTACGTATTTAAGAATGCATCAGAGTCTTTTTTAATTATACTTTAAGTTCTAGGGTACATGTGCAGATTGTGCAGGTTTGTTGCATAGGTATACATGTGCCATGGTGATTTGCTGCACCCATCAACCTGTCATCTACATTAGGTATTTCTCCTAATGCTATCCCTCCCCGAGCCCTCACACCCTGACAGACCCCAGTGTGTGATGTTCCCCTCCCTGTGTCCATGTGTTCTCATTGTTCAACTCCAACTTATGAGTGAGAACATGCAGTGTTTGGTTTTCTGTTATGGTGTTAGTTTGCTGAGAATGATGGTTTCCAGCTTCATCCATGTTCCTACAAAGGACATGTCCCTCCAAAGGACACCTAGCTCTGTGTCCTTTCATTCGGGGCAGTGAGTTCTCCCATGTCCTGTGTGAGTCCAGAAGTGCTGTTTGGGTATCATGGACTACAGTCAAAAACCTTAGAGATCTTACTGGTGTTCTATTTTTTATGGCTGCATAGTATTTCATGGTGTATGTGTGCCACATTTTCTTTATCCAGTCTATTATTCCTGGGCATTTCGGTTGGTTCCAAGTTTGTGCTATTGTGAACAGTGCCACAATAAACATACGTATGCACGTGTTTTTATAGTAGAATGATTTATAATCCTTTTGATATACACCCAGTAATGGGATTGTTGCATCAAATGGTATTTCTGGTTCTAGACCCTTGAAGAATCGCCAGTGTCTTCTACAATGGTTGAACTAATTTACACTCCCACCAACAGTGTAAATGTGTTCTTATTTCTCCATATCCTCTCCAGCATCTATTGTTTCCTGACTTTTTAATGATCACCATTCTAACTGGTATGAAATGTAATCTCATTCTGGATTTGATTTGCATTTCTCTAATGACCAGTGATGATGAACTTTTTTTTTTTTTTTTTTTTTTTATTTCTTGGCAGGATAGATGTCTTCTTTTGAGAAGTATCTGTTCATACCCTTCACCCACTTTTTGATGGGGTTCTTTGTTTTTTTCTTGTACATTTGCTTAAGTTCTTTGTAGATTCTGGAACTTCCCCAACCTAGTAAGGCAGGCCAACATTCAAATTCAGGAAATACACGAACGCCACAAAGATACTCCTCGAGAAGAGCAACTCCAAGACACATAACTGTCAGATTCACCAAAGTTGAAATGAAGGAAAAAATGTTAAGGGCAGCCAGAGAGAAAGGTCAGGTTACCCACAAAGGGAAGCCCATCAGATTAAGAGCAGATCTCTCGGCAGAAACTCTACAAGCCAGAAGAGAGTGGGGGCCAATATTCAACATTCTTAAAGAAAAGAAGTTTAAACCCACAATTTCATATCCAGCCAAACTAAGTTTCATAAGGGAAGGAGAAATAAAATCCTTTACAGACAAGCAAATGCTTAGAGATTTTGTCACCACCAGGCCTGCCCTACAACAGATCCTGAAGGAAGCATTAAACATGGAAAGGAACAAGTACCAGCCATTGCAAAAACATGCCAAAATGTAAAGTCCATTGATGCTAGGAAGAAACTGCATCAACTAACGAGCAAAATACCCAGCTAATATCATAATGACAGGAGCAACTTCAAACATAACAATATTAACCTTAAATGTAAATGGACTCAATGGTCCAATTAAAGGACACAGACTTGGAAATTGGATAAAGAGTCAAAACCCATCAGTTTGCTGTATTCAGGAGACCCATCTCACATGCAGAGACACACATAGGCTCAAAATAAAGGGATGGAAGAAGATCTACCAAGCAAATGGAGAATAAAAAAAAAGCAGGGGTTGCAATTCTAGTCTCTGATAAAACAGATTTTAAATCATCAAAGATCAAAAGAGACACAGAAGGCCATTACATAATGGTAAAGGGATCAATTCAACAGGAAGAGCTAACTATCCTAAATATATATGCACCCAATACAGGAGCACGCAGATTCGTAAAGCAAGTCCTTAGAGAATTACAAAGAGACTTAGACTCCCATACAATAATAATGGGAGACTTCAACACCCCACTATCAACATTAGACAGATCAACAAGACAGAAAGTTCACAAGGATATCCAGGAATTGAACTCAACTCTGCATCAAGCGGACCTGATAGACATCTACAGAACTCTCCACCCCAAATGAATAGAATATACATACATTCTTCTCAGCAAAACATTGCACTTATTCCAAAATTCACCACATAGTTGGAAGTAAAGCACTCCTCAGCAAATGTAGAAGAACAGAAATTATAACAAACTGTCTCTCAGACCACAGTGCAATCAAACTAGAACTCAGGACTAACGAAATCAATCAAAACCGCTCAACTACATGGAAACTGAACAATCTGCTCCTGAATGACTACTGGGTACATAACAAAATGAGGGCAAAAATAAAGATGTTCTTTGAAACCAATGAGAACAAAGATACAACATACCAGAATCTCTGGGACACATTTAAAGCAGTGTGTAGAGGGAAATTTATAGCACTAAATGCCCACAAGAGAAAGCTGGAAAAATCTAAAATTGACACTCTAACATCACAATTAAAAGAACTAGAGAAGCAAGAGCAAACACATTCAAAACCTAGCAGAAGGCAAGAAATAACTAAGATCAGAGCAGAACTGAAGGAGATAGAGACACAAAAAACCCTCCAAAAATCAATGAATGAGGAGCTGTTTTTTTTTTGAAAAGATCGGCAAAGTTCATAGACCACGAGCAAGACTAATAAAGGAGAAAAGAGAGAAGAATCAAATAGACGCAATAAAAAATGATAAAGGGGATATCACCACCGACCCCACAGAAATACAAACTACCATCAGAGAATACTATAAACACCTCTATGCAAATAAACTAGAAAACCTAGAAGAAACGGATAATTTCCTGGACACTTACACTCTCCCAAGACTAAACCAGGAAGAAGTTGAATCCCTGAATAGACCAATAGCAGGCTCTGAAAATGAGGCAATAATTAATAGCCTGCCAACCAAAAAAAGTCCAGGACCAGATGGATTCACAGTTGAATTCTACCAGAGGTACAAGGCGGAGTTGGTACCATTCCTTCTGAAACTATTCCAATCAATAGAAAAAGAGGGAATCCTCCCTAACTCATTTTATGAGGCCAACATCATCCTGATAACAGAGCCTGACAGAGACACAACAAAAAAAGAGAATTTTAGACCAATATCCCTGATAAACATCGATGCAAAAATCCTCAATAAAATACTGGCAGACTGAATCCAGCAGCGCATCAAACAGCTTATCCACCATGATCAAGTGGGCTTCATCCCTGGGATGCAAGGCTGGTTCAACATATGCAAATCAATAAACATAATCCAGCATATAAACAGAACCAAAGGCAAAAACTATATGATTATCTCAATAGATGCAGAAAAGGCCTTTGATAAAATTCAATAGCCCTTCCTGCTAAAAACTCTCAATAAATTCGGTATTGACGGAAAGTATCTTGAAATAGTAAGAGCTATTTATGACAAACCCACAGCCAACGTCATACTGAATGGGCAAAAACTGGAAGCATTCTCTTTGAAAACTGGCACAAGACAGGATGCCCTCTCTCACCACTCCTATTCAACATAGTGTTGGAAGTTCTGTCTAGGGAAATCAGGCAAGAGAAAGAAATAATGCGTATTCAGTCAGGAAAAGAAGAAGTCAAATTGTCCCTGTTTGCAGATGACATGATTGTATATTTAGGGAACCCCATTATCTCAGTCCAATATCTCCTTAAGCTGATAAGCAACTTCAGCAAAGTCTCAGGATACAAAATCAATGTGCAAAAATCACAAGCATTCTTATACACCAGTAACCAAAACAGCATGGTACTGGTACCAAAACAGAGATATAGACCAATGGAATAGAACAGAGTCCTCAGAAACAATATCACACATCCACAGCCATCTAATCTTTGACAAACCTGACAAAAACAAGAAATGGGGAAAGGATTCCCTATTTCATAAATGGTGCTGGGAAAATTGACTAGCCATGAGTAGAAAGCTGAAACTGGATCCTTTCCTTATTCCTTATATGAAAATTAAGTCAACATGGATTAGAGATTTAAATGTTAGACCTAAAACCATAAAAACCCTAGAAGAAAACCAAGGTAGTACCATTCAGGACAGAGGCATGGGCAAGGACTTCATGTCTAAAACACCAAAAACAATGGCAACAAAAGCCAAAATTGACAAATGGGATCTAATTAAATTAAAGAGCTTCTGCACAGCAAAATAAACTACCATAGAGTGAACAGGCAACCTACAGAATGGGAGACAATTTTTACAATCTACTCATCTGACAAAGGGCTAATATCCAGAACCTACAAAGAACTCAGTCAAATTTACAAGAAAAAAATCAAACAACCCCATCAAAAAGTGGGCAAAGGATATGAACAGACAGTTCTCAAAAGAAGACATTCATACAGCCAACAGACACATGAAAAAATGCTCATCATCACTGGCCATCAGAGAAATGCAAATCAAAACCACAATGAGATACCATCTCACACCAGTTAGAATGGCAATCATTCAAAAGTCAGGAAACAACAGGTGCTGGAGAGGATGTGGAGAAATAGGAACACTTTTCCACTGTTGGTGGGATTGTAAACTAGTTCAACCACTATGGAAAACAGTATGGCGATTCCTCAAGGATCTAGAACTAGAAGTACCATATCACCCAGCCATCCCATTACTGGGTATATACCCAAAGGATTATAAATCATGCTGCTATAAAGACACATGCACACGTATGTTTATTGCAGCACTATTCACAATAGCAAAGACTTGGAATCAACCCAAATGTCCATCAGTGACAGATTGGATTAAGAAAATGTGGCACATATACACCATGGAATACTATGCAGCCATCAAAAAGGATGAGTTTGTGTCCTTTGTAGGGACATGGACGCAGCTGGAAACCATCATTCTTAGCAAAGTATCCCAAGAACAGAAAACCAAACACCGCATGTTCTCACTCATAGGTGGGAACTGAACAATGAGATCAGTTGGA